TCGGATCGAGTAGCCTTGTACAGAGTGTCCGATGCTTTCTGGCCGGCCTTCCGGATCCGAGCCCGCTCCTTTCGACCGGGAAGGGAGACGACGCCGTTTACGACCGAGGGCCTCGCTGGGCAGTCTGTGTGGCCGGCTTGGAAGGGGCCGCAGCAGTTGGGACACTGGGGCCTGGCCATGCAAGGTCCCGTTTCGTGTGAGTCGGAAGGTCTTCCGCAGTTGCTGCAAGTCGGTCGTCGTCCGCAGAACCGGTTGGCGTGGTAGCCCTGGCAGCCGGGGTCATGTCGGATGAGCGTCCTTCGTTTTTTGATGGGCAGAGATCTGCCGCTTTGGTTGAAGAGCCTGAAGGGCGTGACCTCTGATGTGAATGATATGAGCCAAGATATTTCGTTCGTGACTGGGTTGGGCCCAAGGCGGGACGGTCGAGCAAGGACAGGCTTCTGTCCTGTCTGTGCGAAGACCTCATCTTCAACGAGTGTGGCTGGGTCCAGGACGTCCCCGCCAATGCTGTGTAGTTTTGTTGGGCATCGCGGCACAACGTATGTGTGCCACTTGATAGGCGTCTCGACTTGGTGGGCGCCGAGGCATTCCGCCAGCTTTGCCTTACTTGTAAGTAGTCTTTCCTGTATTTGCTTGTTTCGCGGCTTCAGAGAGTAACCTGTGCTGATATGGTAGACGTGGGGAAGGTCCGCTAGCCCCAGGCCAACGGCCTTACAGACGATCTGTCGTACGGCGAACGGTGCGATCTTCCGAGCGGCCGCTAAGCTTTCTTCCGGGACGCGGGCAAAGATGCGGAGGTCCTCCTTCGGCTGCGCCTGCGGCTGATCCTCGGCGGGGAGTGTGGCCTTCGGGCGGGCAGAGCTCTGGCAGCTCTGGCCGCTCCGGGTCGCCGCAGTGGTGTTGCCCGCCATCGGTGCGACGACAGCCGCCCAACTCCGGGCCGCTATTGGGCTTGTCTCGTGATTGATCAGTCTCTTGAGGGTTTGAATGACATAGGCAGTGGCTTCTTTCGCGATCTGCTTTCTAGAACCGTCAAAGCTGGCGACAACGCTGTCGACGGACCGTGCAATGGTCAGAAAGACGTCTTTCCGTGCCTCGTACTGTCTAGCTTCTTCTGCAAGGGCTGTCAAGACGGACCCTGTGGCAGATCCGCTCGGAGCAGATGCGGTAGAGGCTGCGGGCCCCTCGGCCGAGGTAGGGGCGTCGGTGGTGGCATCAAGCTGGCTTCCCGTTAGGCTGGGCCGGGTCGGCTGTGCCTCGGCGTCGCGGCGTCGCTTAGCTCTTGAGGTGGGGTTCGGCTCCGGAGGTGTCCCGGAGCCTGGTTCGGGGTCGGCTTGGTCGGCCGACATCAGTCCGGTGCCCGACGGCGGCTGTGAGGCCATCGCGGATGCGGGCTCCGGCAAGGGGAGGTGAAGAGTTTTCGGCTGTTAGTAATTTGGTGGTAGGCTCACTCATTCACTAACAGCAGATGCCAAGAAAAATTAGGCGAGAGGGAAGTTGTCGCCGTTCTTTGAGTCAACCATGTTAGCAATCTACGTACTAACTGTTAGCTTAGGGCGCCTCCGAACTGCGTGTTCGAGGTCGACGATTTAGAAAAGCCATGGACCTGGTCTGAGCCCTTTGACTTCATCTACTGCAGAAGTATGGACGGCGCATTTGCGAACAAGGAAAGGATGATTAGGAAGATCTACACGTAAGACAACCCTCATTACCCAACGCACTGGTACTTGCGCTTTCGCTCAACATCGCACACGTCTCACGTAGTGGCTTGACTCCGGGAGGTCATCTTGAAGTCGCGGGACTCGAATTGCCGCCTGGTTGCGACGATGATTCGGTTCCCAAGGACTCTGACCTGTGGAAGTGGCACGAGCTGCTGCAAGAAGCCGCGACAAAGATCGGACGGCCGCTGGAGAGCCTGGCCCACAACAAGGCGGACCTGGAGGATGCTGGCTTTATCAACATTGTCCGTAAGGACTACAAGCTGCCTCTCAACACCTGGCCCGAGGATCCCGATCTGAAACATCTCGGACAGTGGCAATTTGTCAACCTCAATCTTGGTCTCGAGGGGCTATCTCTTGCTCTTCTCACCCGTGTGTTGGAATGGTCTAGGGAAGAGGTTCTTGCCCTATGTGCCGGCGTTCGGAGGGATTTGAAGGATAAGAGGATGCACGCTTACTGGAAGATGTAAGTTCACGCCTTGCTGTCTGCCATGGGCTATTCATGCTGACATTTTCAGTCACGTCGTCTATGCGCAAAAGCCCGAGGATGCTTCTGATTCTGAGCAGTCGCAGGAGTGATAGGAGATGGAAATCATTCAGAATACCACATAAAATCCAAGTTGTTTACGCAATGAGCTTGGCTAAATGTGGCGTAATGTTGTGAGCTACCGAAGAGTTGAAGTACACGTTGCTTTGACCTCAGTCCTGAAAATTGCATGAGAAGACGCCAGACTTGGAGAAATCCCACGACAGCTCTATGACCCCAGTCAATCAAAGAAGTGTCGTCAAAATTAAGTGAATGCTACATCCCACCGGTCCCCGGTATCCGGGCGAGAGAGAGAGCCATACCCGTCCCCGGACAGCGGCCTTGTTAGTAAATCGGCGCGGTGTGCGGCAGGGCCGATACCCACATCCCGGCAGTGGCCGGACGTGTGGAGGCACTATCTGTAGGGTAAACTTAAAGCGGGCTTGGCAACCTTTACCTTAAGCTAAGCCTCGGGTTCGGGTTAGTCGGTGTTACGACAGGGATAAGGAGGCCGTCTCCCGTCCCCGCAAAGCTCTCTATCTGATCCCAACCCATTCCCGAACTTCCCCTTTTGCACACGAACACTTACGCGTCTCACTGGCTGGAGGGGCCTCGCATTAGCCCCATAAGAGAGAGAGAGAGATCTTTTTGCCTCTCTCCCCCATCGTGACTGGGGCCGCACAAGATTTTCTGACTGTTTCCACATATCCAGCCAGCCAGCCAGCCAGCTCAGCCAAGCCTAAGCCAAGCGCCCCCAAACAACATTTCGTCTCTAATCCATTTACCTTTACCTTTTACTCCGTATCCCCGTCTCTATCCGTACCTTATTCTGTCTCCTCGCTCTGGCCCCGTTCTGACTGATTTCTTGTTCATCTGAGCTCAACTAGTGCCAAGGTACCCGCGTATTGCCAACCAAACACACACGCACACACACGTTTTCACAGGCTCACACAAACATACCCTCGTCTGCTGTCATCGTTTGATTGTCGGTGAGACAGCGACGCTATTAAAACATACCTTCGGACTTTGCCCCACTTTGTCAAAGGAAAACAATCAACGGGAACGGCAGATAATTACGGGATAATCGAACGCTGGACCTCATCGCCGTCTCGCATACTATTACCACAACATGCCGCCCCGGAAGGGTAGTCCCAAGGTGAAGACGGGATGCCGGACATGCAAGTGGGTTTTGCCTTTTCCCCTCAGTGGCTTGCTGGATTCAGATCCTTCCGAACCTTTATCTTTCATTATCCCTCAAATGGCAAAAAGAAAAAAATTCTTGCTTGGGAGGCCTTGGCTGACTCTGGGATGATAACCAACTAGGGCTCGAAAGGTCAAGTGCGACGAGACCAAGCCCAAATGCATGCGATGCACATCGAGCGGCCGGCAGTGCGCCGGCTACGAGCCGACGCTCGAACACGGCCTATCATGGTATCGGCCTCAGCAGCTGACCGCTCACGACCAGCGTGAGGGCAGAGCCTTCCAGTTCTTTTCTCACATGGTCGGGCCCGTCTTGTCGGGCCCGATGGACACGTACTTTTGGACGCACCTGGTTGTACAATTTAGCCACTTTGAGCCCGCCGTGCGTCATGCCGTCTTGGCCATCAGCTCCCTGTACGAGGATTTCCACGACGGCGCTCGCGTCACGAGACAGAAGCCCGGCAATGACTTTGCGTTGAGTCACTACAGCGCGGCCATCCAGAGAATCAAGTCTGCGCAGGACGAGCAGCTCGTGTTGCTGGTGTGTATCCTCTTCATCTGCATCGAGTACCTCCAGGGCGACGTCGAGGCCGCGCTCCGGCACTGCAAGCACGGCATCATGATTCTCAATCGAGTGGGCTGCTCTTCGTGGGCACACGACTATCTTATGCCAATATTCCGGCGATTGAGCTTTGCCTCCTTCTTCTTGGGGATAAAACCGTCCGCGGACGCTGCGGTGCCGGGTCTGTTAGGATTTGAAGTTCCGATACCAGACAAGATTGAGAGTTTGGGGGAAGCACAGAGCGCCATCGACGACTTGATGATCCACGCCATCCGATTTGTATCTGGCGAGCCAACAGCCTTTGATCGGCAGGATCTCGAGACGCGGTTAGGCCAGTTCCACGAAAAGCTCACCGAATTTGACGACTCGTTACCACAGACAGAATCGGCGGCAAAGGTTGCGATCTGCAGCATGTTGATGAGATTTGAGATGGCCAAGATACAGATAGATACGATTGGTGGAAAGAAGGAAACGAGATTCGACAAGCATGTCGAGGGTTTCCGCAGAACGATAGAGCTGGCAAGGCGAGCGTCACATCTGAGGAAGACGTATCCCGACGACCGTCCGCATGCCAGCTTCACATTCGAGAGCGGCTTCCTGTCGCCAATGTCTTTCGTGTCCAACAAATGTCGAGACCTAAAACTGAGGTTGGAGGCGTTGGAGTTCATGGTTGAGCTCGCCGCACCGAAAGAAGGTTTTACAGACGTTGGCACCTTGTACAGGATCGGCCGGCGAAGCATCGAAGTCGAACATGGGATATCGTTGGTCGACGGCACTATTGAAAAGGATCCAATCGCTCTCGCGAAGTTTTCCTTTCCTCCTGAGGAGAACAGGATGTTTGCCGCACCAATAGATCACGAGTTGTACGTGATCAAGAATGAGGATGGGACAACGACGTACCGGAGAAATGTGTCATTTTTAAGGAGGGACGCTGAGGGAACGGTCAGCTCCAGGCAGGAGTACATCACCGATCAGATATCGGGGCTGGTATCGCAAAATGTACCATGTATGAGGTGTGCAAAGTCTATGTAGCACTACAACGATCATGAATGAGATTCCCATTTGCCCTTCTTGGCAAGCCTGCATTCACTGACCCAAAGGAATAAACATGAACAAGGAACTTTTAGACTTGCATGCGTGTCCCGCGTTGGATCTGAGTGGCATCCACCTTCGGCATCCCACATGCCCCCCGGACAGCTCCATAGCCAGATCTGAGTTTGTTTGACAGCGTCTCCATATGCTAAGATCGGTCAACGATCCACCAGAAACGTGTTTGTGAGGTTGATTCTAGGTTTTGGGTAGTTTTCGGCGTTCGCCTAAGGAACTCCCCAGATTCTGTGCTTGTGTTTGTGAGCATGAGTAGCGTACGAATCGACTTACGCGTGAAACACGCCGAGACTTCGGCCGAGCCAAAACTGCCTCACTCGGGGATCAGGCTTGCGTGAGCTTCGCCCTCCTGATGATGAATCAAAGAATTGGAAGGATACTACCTCCCCTTTGGAAACATCCATGATCACCCTCATGAGACCTTCCAGCTTCTGCAATGTCATCGTCCACCATGGCCTAGCTGCCGGGAGGTTGGTGCCGTAAGTCCAGTCCCAAAGTGGCGATGGGGGTGATCCGAACGCCGCTAAAGCGGCACTTGCGCCGTACCACACGTTCACATCACCCTCCTCTATGCCTCCGATCTTGCTCCACTGTGGGGCAAGACCGAGAGGAATAAAAGCCGGGCCATCGCCGGCTCGCTTTTGCTCCACGGCACTCCAACCTTCGCCTCCCTATCAGAGCGGCCTTTTCGTCTTTTTGCACGAGTCCAATGTCGTACTGCCGTTTCGACCGACGCTCAAACTGACGAGATTCCAGGAGCGAACCACTATGGCAGGTCCGGGCAGGTGGAAGGGAAGCTCGGCTTTTCCGCATGGCAGAGGGGGCGAAAGGGGGCCCATCTAACAAACAATAGTCATATATCATGAAGAACATTTCCCCATACGAGACCCGACATGTAGTCCAAGTCACGGGCATGCTCAGTTCTGTGTCTCGTTGTGGGTAAAAGAGAGAGAGTCCATTGCTCACCTAGAACGCTCGTCAACATGCCTTCCCCTATCTGGGCCCTCGCGGCCGCAGTCGCTCCGGCTTTTGTCAACGCCGCAACCCTCGCCGACGTCTGTACGACCGCCCACGCGCAAGAAGCTCTCCCCGCGAGCGGCTTCATCCCCGGCATCACCATCGACGCGTCCTCCGTCGTGACCTCGGTGGTCAGCAACGCCTCCGTCTCCTCCGAGTGGTATCCCTCAGCTACCATCGAGTACTGCAACGTGACCTTCGCCTACTCCCACGATGGGCTCACAGGCGACAAGGTCCACATAACATACTGGGTACCCTCTCCCGATGCCTTCCAAAACCGCTATGTCTCGACTGGCGGCGGTGGCCTGGCCATCAACTCTGGAAGCCAGTATATCCCCACGGGTATCATCGTTGGTGCCGTTTCTGGCATCACCGATGGTGGCTTTGGGGACTTCAACACGCAATGGGACGCTGTCTTCCTCGCGGCCAATGGTACTGTCAACTGGCAGTCCGTCTACATGTTTGGATACCAGGCACACAATGAGCTGGCTACGCTGGGCAAGGAGTTCACCAAGAAGTTCTACAGCGTTGCCGCCGACCAGAAGATCTACTCTTACTACCAAGGCTGCTCGGAGGGAGGCCGTGAGGGGTGGAGTCAGGCACAGCGGTTCGCTGACCAGTTTGACGGTCTTGCCATCGGTGCGCCTGCTTTCAGGTGTAAGTAACATCCCCAACGTTGTCTCTTTTTGCGTGATCCTGACACTCGCCAAGACGGACAGCAGCAGGTCAACCACCTGACGGCCAACGTCATGGAACAAACCCGAAATTACTTCCCTCCTAGCTGCGAACTCGAAAAGATCCTCAACATGACCATCGCCGCCTGCGATCCCCTCGACGGCAAGACCGATGGCGTCATCGCCCGCTCTGACCTCTGCAAGAACACATTCGACTTCAACACCACTATCGGACAAGCCTACTCTTGCCCCGCCAAAGCTGCCAGCACCGGCCCCGGCTTCCCCACCCCGGCAAGCCCGGCCCAGAACGGCACCGTTACCACCGAGGCCGCGACCTTGGTCAGGGACTACTACGACGGCCTCCACGATTCCACGGGCAAGCGTGTCTACCTCAACTACCAGCCCGGCTCAGCCTTCTCCGACGCGACGGCCTCCTTTGACGAAGCAACACAGACCTGGGGCCTGAGCATCTCCGGCCTTGGCGGCGAATGGGTCGCACGATACCTCCAGCTCCGCGATACCAGCGACCTCGGTACCTTAGCCAACGTCACTGCCGATACCCTCCGCGACTGGATGCTGTACGGCATGAACAAGTACGCCGACTCGCTGCAGACGACGCACCCGGACCTCAGCGGAATCCAGTCCGCTGGTGGCAAGATCCTCCACATCCACGGCGAGCAGGACGATTCTATCCCCGCCGCCTCGTCGGTGCACTACTACGAGTCTGTGCGGAGCATCATGTTCCCCGGCCAGGGCTTCAACGAGAGCGGTGCAGCCATGGACGAGTTTTACAGGCTTTACCTTGTTCCTGGCGGCGCCCACTGTGGTGCCAACTCGAACCAGCCCGGCGGCGGATGGCCTCAGACCACGTTGCAGACTGTGATCGAGTGGGTTGAGAAGGATGCCGCCCCGGCGACGTTGAACAACACGGGCGTCGGCATCGACACGCTCTGCCGCTGGCCCATGCGGCCTTTGTGGTCCAATGACGGAGCTTCCTTTGATTGTGTCTATGATCAGGCTTCTATCGACAGCTGGATGTACACATTCGACGCCTTCAAAATGCCCGTCTACTAATCAGCTGTGGATGTTGTCTCAAGCCATGTCACTACTTAAGGCTTTAGTCTTGAGGAAACACTTGCAGATCCGAGGAAGGAGAGGCTAATTTGTACAAAGCTTCTGAACTATTCATGTACATACTTGTTTCGCAGTAACTAGTACAAAGCCGACTAATCTTCATGACTAAGTAGTGTCTTGCAAAGTAAATGTTCCCAAGTTATACCTCAATTTGTCCAGATACTAAACGTGAAGGGCATGGTCCATGGTAGAAAACCTAGTATCAGTTTATCGGCCATCTTCCGGTAATGATTGTTCTGGAAGTGGACTGGTGGAGTGAGCTGGTGGGCAACCGCTCACACTGTGGAACATCTTGAGATCATTCGTCGCCCCCAACATTACCAGCCCTTTCATCCACTCTCAAACCGTACTTTCAACATGAATCTCCTGTTTTCGCGTTCGGTTAATCAGTGCATCCTTCCAGGCATTTTAGGGACATGGCTCTCAGAACCATATGCTCGAGACCGGTAGTCGGCCTCGCGAACGGTGGCACTCTCCGTCTCCAAAGTCCCAAGATTTGCCGATGCGAACCGACATACTTTTTCAGACTGAAAAGGTCGTGTGTCTTGCAAACGGAAAACTTGGCTTAGATAGAGATCTGCGGTCCCCGCAAAGATCGGACCGCATCGACTACTGTATAATAGGTAGCAGACGGCTATGACGGCGCCAAAATCCAGCTATCCTGACTGGGCAAACGTAAAAAGAAAGCCCATGTAATGTGAATGGCGGCACGGAAAAGGCTACGTGCACTGGCGTCAATCCAAAGTCTACCTGGGCGCCTATGGTAGCGTGCTTAGGCTTGAGTAGCACCGCCGGCCTCATCATCATGAGTCTCAGTCTATGGAGTGCGCTGTAGGACATGTCTATGTAGGTCGCACACTGCGATATCAGTGGGAACACAGTCTAGCACAGACCTTGTTTAGACAAGTGAAGCTTTTGGGAAAACTTGAGCGAATAAATCAGCGTCTGTACTCCCGAGGATCGTCGGCGATCTCGAAAGAACTGATGACATCCTGGATCAAGTCCTAGGAAGATCCCTGCACTGGCGATCGACAACCGCAGATTCTCCGTTCATCTGAAAGAGCTTCCAGAAGGGAGATGGAACGTTGGAGAAGTGAGGGTAGCAAGAACTTTGACTTCAATGGGTCGTTCATGTGATTATTGAAATATTTCTCTGCAAGTTTCCATAGAGGCTCTCGATTAACCCCTTGCTCTTCAAGTCCCATCTCTATTGCGATTGCTACCCGCCGCTATAGCGACGTAGTCATTCATCAGGAAAATGCTTGGCTTCGCAAAACAGCTCATCAAACTTCCAGTGGACCAAGCATGAAAGAGTGTTACGCTACTGATTATAGAAAAATTTTTCATTATCATTTCATATTTATTACAGGAGCGTCACAAAGGGCATATCACTCAAGCCCTCCCACCATCCTTGGTCGTCTCCTCCACAATCGACCATTTCGTCTCAATCGTAATCGCCTGCGCATTCCGCGGCAACCTCTGCGTCGACTCCGTCTCCGAGATATCATCCTCGTCCGTCCCATTCGACCGCCTCCTCAACTCCCCCCTCCCGATGACCGTTGTCGTAAAGTGCACATCATTCTTGCCGTACATCGTCTCGAGCGGGATGCCGTTGGTCAAGTCCTCCACCAGGTGCTCGTGCTTACACGACTGGCTGTTGCCGCCCAGCCGCGAGACGTACTCGTCCGTCTCGAAGCGGCGGTGCTTCCAAAAGGCCCAGAGCGGGAGCAGCATTGGCAGGGAGTTGCAAAGGATGGTGAGGTTCGTTTCCAGGACCGTGAGGAAGGTTGCAACGGGCATGTTGCGGACGACTTGTTCCAGGCTGTAGACGTCGATCATGATGCGGAGCCTGACAATGGAGGCGATGATGGCACTAGATTGGAAAATGTTAGACAACGACGCTCGTTCATTCATAACGAGGCCTTGTCAATCGGCCAACCTTGATGGATGGTGATCAAAACTCACATCAGATTCAACAAAAACACACCACTAAGCCCCCACCGCGTAGACACGCTGACCTTCTTCAAGCTCCAAATCGTGTATAGCGGGACCAGCATGATGACGGTGTTGGTGATGCAGTTGAACAGCCCCGTCGAGAGAATGCTCGCCTCGTGCTCGCGGCAGATGTCCTGATTCGTCGCGTGCCATTTGCCGTTGGTGATGTGGCAGACCAACAAGGTCTGAAGGATGTTACCGATGCCCCAGAGGATGACGATGAGGAATGTCATCTTCGTCGCCAGGCGCATAGGCGGGCTCGTGAAAACGCGAAGGTAAAAGAAGAGAACACTGAGCTTCGTCGTCAAGCTGACGAAGCCAAAGATTGTGTCGGAAGGGAGAAAGAGCTACGATTTGCCGACATGATTAGCAACCCATAAGATTCGAGTAACCCCCATGATCTCACGGCCAGTCATGAGATCGAGTTGATTGGGAAACCCACAGAATCCAAAAACGTCCAGTTCGCCTCGACCTGCGAAAGCTCATATCCAAGACCGGCGGATGTCCCTACAGCCAAGTTTTAGCAACACATCCTTCAGACAGCCCATCTTTGAGCCTCCATGGAACAGTTTCGGAGGATGCTTACAAAGGCCTTGTATCACCAACAAAGCGATTCCCTGAGGAACAGCCAACAGCGTAAAGTAGTCATCCCAGCCCAGCCTAGACCCCGCCAGCACACGAGAGACAACCCGCAGCGCAACCACCAACACCGTCACGAAAGCCACCACCGAGTTGGCAATAAGATACGCCGAAGCCTGTGGCACGATAGGCATCTTGGTGTACTGCATGTGGGGAGAGTATTCTCCGTCGTCGTTCGGGATGTCGAAAGGGCGCGATCGCGTCGGTTTGGCCTGAGAAGCTTTTCCTGGTGACTTTGGCGGAGTGCACCGAGCCGGGGGTGGGAAGAGAAAACGAAAAAGAAAGGGAAGACTCACGAGAGATTAGGAGGGGCAGAGGAAAAGAGGGAATACAAGCCATGTTTAAACTCGAGATACTCCTCGCTTCCTCACTTACCCTTAATCCACTCTATCGCTTTCTCTCTTTCGCTCGCTCTTCCAACAAGCAACGCAAACAGGGACAAGGTCACATTGAGTTTCAACGCATGGGAAAACGCGCCTACGATTCTCGCTCGAACGGGCAATGACTCGCACTGGGGCGTGATTGTTCCCCCCCCCCCTGATCTCGCTTCCCCCGGGCTATATAGTGGGCACCTGACGGTGCTGACTCGGAAGGGTGGACTGAAAGGCGAGGAAAGGACCAGACATATCGTTGAGACCTGCCCAAAGAAAGAGAGACAGAAACCCACGATGCTAGGAATGCAGTAGCCCGCACATCCACAACCCGACTCGAGGCGGCTTTCCCATTCGCCTCGCTTTCTGAGCCTTGCCTCCTTGCGCCCTTCCCTGGTCTAGCGTTATCCGGGGCCCTCCGCTAATACCGACAATGTCCATACCTAGACTTGCCAGTCCATGCCAGACTCTTCAACGCAGAATCACATAAATCCTCCTTTCCCCCTTGTTCGTCACATACCTTACCCGGGGGACGCCAACGCTTTACAAGTTTGCTCCTAGTGAAGTTGCATCTGTCAAGGTCGCTTAGGTCTTGGTAATGCCGCCCCCTGGTTCGGAGACGTATGCGGCATACCGGGATAGTTTAAGAATTTTGGCTCTCAGCGCGGCACTTGATTACTGCGCATCCAAACCCAGAGGAGGCGAAGTGCGGGATGTGGTGGATCTTCCCCGATGTCACACGTGGGCGCAAAGTTGCACTCGGTACTCGTCGACCATTAAGCGTTGAGAGGAGCACGGAGTTCTCATGTAATATTGGGAAGAATATGCAACCTAGTATGAGGTCGTTGAAGGAGTTGCTTTGAGAAGTCTTGCTAGTGCTAGGTATGTGATAAATACGTAATCCTCCTGAGCAAAAGCCGAAAACTTGGACAAGCACACTGCATATCGTGAGTCAAGCGTCGGGAAGCGGCACGTCGATCAATAGCAATTGCCAAAGACTCAAACACTTACCTCAATGTGGACATCACCGAGCATCAATAAGGAAGCACAGAAATGGTTCGATGCCTGAGCGCTGCGGTGAACCCGGCTCTCTGGTCCCCATTCCCAAAGAGCAAATTCAATCCAGTTGCGGATACCATTTTCATCGTCAGCAAGCAGCCCCCACCTAGACCCTTGCAAGTAGGGCGCTAGTTGGTTGCAAAATAGAATGGTTGCGCTATTAAGGTTAATTACGTCTATGAACCCAGGGGCTTCGGGCGGGTCTGGCTTTCGTCAACAGTGACACTACGGATAGCAGCGCTCGCTCGCCTTGCCTAAACCGGATGGTTAGTGCCGGAATGGATCGACGTCAACGTCTTTTCTTAGGAGTTGCTATCCGGACATGGCGATAAGGTTAAGAGATCGCTTTCACGATTGGAGACGAGGACTTGGCGCGAAAGTCGCGTCTACCTAGTATGGACTCGTGGGACCTCAAGCCCCCAGTAGGGTGTTCTCAATTGAGCAACTAGCATTCGCAGAGCTAGGGGTTCCCGAGCTCTATGCAGTCCAGATTCAACAAAAGGGAACAGTGCAATTTGGACTGTAGTCTGAATCCATAGAACCAATTGACAGTTCGTTGGCAATGCCCAGCCTTAGAGAGCAACATCTCGTTTGTGAACGCAGTGCTCAAAAAGAGCGAGTTGTTACTTGTACAATGGAGCTCAAGAAGAGTCTGTATCTTTGGCCAAGTATACTGGGGCTTATTGTCTCCGAATATCATATAACAAAGATTTTTGACTTGCTGAAGGCAACGGAAGCTTGAGAGTATGTGAAAAAGAAAAAAGAACAATCAGGAAGCTAAAGCCAGCAAGCCGAGAGCCTTCCGAAAAGAAACCATGAGAGAATGATTTTATATCTACCAATCTGCACTACGCCGCGTCAGACTAGTTTGAACTTATCAAAGTCGTCGATACAGACTGCTCACTGCAGTCTCCGACTAAACTGTTCAGACAAGGTAGGAAACACAACCCCAGCACATAACTAACATCCTGTCTAGACACCCACGTTCATTCCACAACCACAACCTCCACTCTCAACAATGCCCTCCTCATCCCCATCCTACACCTACCCCCCTCGAGTCCCTCAGCCTCTTCGGCGCCCGCCCAGACTACGAATCCTGCATGCCGACTCTAACCTCCCCCGAACTCACAACAGGCTGGGACGCCCACTACCTCCTCTCAAGCCCCTAACAGAACCCACCCACCCCCAACTCCGTGAACAACCCTCTCCGCATCTCCCAGGCAGAAATCGACGCAACTTGGGACCCCTATAAACTCGCCGCCACGATCTTACCAGAACATGAATATCTTCAAGCACACCATCGTCGAGGTGCAGGAAGAAAAGTACGGCGTGGACCGTATCCTCGATGACGCGGAGCGTAAGAGGAACGGGGGACGGTACCCAGATTCTTGGACGAGTTCCTCCTCGTTTTCAAGAAGCGAATGGGACAGCGATGGCTATCGTCGTCGTAGGGCAGCAATGTTCAATAGAGACATCACGCCCTCCTCGGAACACAGGACCACCCAGAATGGGACACATACAAGCTCCGCGAGATCTTTTTAAGTCTCCAGACTGATGTCGGAATCAAGGTACGTCGACTTGCTGACGCGAAGACAGAGTTGCGTCGCAAAGTGCTACTACTTGACAGACTTGTATAAGAGGCATCGAGTATGCTGAGTTGTGAATGGATTTGCTCTCTACCGAAAAGACATGGGAGCTACTTTTTGAAGTTTGAGAGTGGCGGTGGTAGCAAGCCAGGCACGTTGAAGGAACGTCATCTTCGATCGCAGAATCGGGGACGGCGAAGCTGCTTAGGTAGGGGAGCTTAAGTTGAAAACAGTGTGAATTTGCCAGACTTCCTGTCCATGAGACAGAGGCTGGTCTCATGCGCCTCATTAATGGCTAAGCATGGTATCTATGTGCCCTGAGCAAATGTGGTATCATAATCTCGTGACCTGAGCAAAGTAACTCCGTGAGCTTTTCCATCCGATGAATCATGATCCCTGTTCATATCCCGAATACTATGTGTAGCGGTGCCTCGACATGTTGCTCCCCATCATTAGACATGCTCGGGCCGCTTGTTCCAAGTAACGCCAACCAAATGCCGCTTTCTCAGCTGAGTCGGGCGTGTACTTCAGTTCTCTTAGATGTCCTCTTCGTTGTCCGTCTCGAGGAGGTCCAAGAGACTAGGATGCGGTTCGCCACAACACGGGCAGATACCAAGCTCGTCATCGTCGCCCATCATATCCTCAATGTCCTCCATGGGGTAGCCACTGCTGCGGCAGAACTCGGTCCACTGGCGGTCATCACCATCCCCGTCGCGGCTCTTGGGCACCCTCTTCCAGATCGTCAAGTCCCGACGGCTAGGCGCGGACTTGGGATGGCCTGTCTCTCGGGGCGCAGGAGGCATGATGGGCTCCTTAGGATGATAGTGGCCTTCATCACTTTCATTCCCAGGGTCAGAGTCGGAATCACCGTCGTCTTCCCTCTTTGCCTTTATTGTCTTCCAGGCCCGAACAACACGCGCGCAGCTCGAGATGCCCGGCAGAGGCTTCAGGGAACTTTTGACTTGAACAAACGAGGGTAAGCCAGCAAGAAAGAGGCCCTCGTCGCGTAGAAGCCCAGTAAGCTCTGCGGTGGCCTTGCTACCAGCATCGTCAATCGGAAGACCGGTGACTTGCAACTCATTTAGAGAACAACCGAGCTCGTGTGATGCCACGTCGTGCAGGTCGCTGCTAGGCATAGGGAGAAAGTCGTCGATAAAGTTCACCAAGTCAATTCTAAGCGACTCAAGGCCGGGAAGCAGCTTAGGACGGACTAGCTTTTTGTCATGCTTGGGATCGAAGGGAGGGCGGAGGGCACGCAGGAAATCCGTCACTTGAGCCCACGTGTAGCAGCGAAAGCCGCCACGGGCATAGGTTCGCTCACTGACGCGAGGTATCGTCCGCAGTGTGATGTCACTCTTGAGGGACGGGTGGTAAGATCGCTCGAGCTTGTGCTTTCGCTTCTTGTCGTCGTAAAACTGGGCGACAATGCGAAAGTTGACATGCTTGATGTCCTTTCGAAATCCAAAGTCCAAATCGGCAAAGTTTCTTACGGCGTGTTCATTTGTGAACGTGAAAGTGTTATGGCCCCAGAGTATGCGGCTGCCTTCGTCGTGCATCGCCTTGCATGTCGCCAAGAAGTGGATGGCGATTTGATTACCGCGGCTTTTCTCCTGGGTCGTGAGGTTGTCCGGCGTGAGTTTCGTTAAGGGGTCGATAATCGTGTCCTTCGAGGTCATCGAGTACTTGAGAATGCGCAGCAGGACCTCTGTTGGGAGGTACGGAAAGGAGCGAGTTCCTGAAGAGGGGGCTTGTTTTCGCCTGGCACCTGCTTGGAGGTTCTGATAGTTGGCGGATACCGGCGACCAAGAGATACCGTTTTCTCGGAGCAGCTTCTTCAACTTCGCATTCTCCTCAGCGAGAGCCTGATTCGAGGACCTCAGAGGCTGGTTGTAGTAGGCTTCGGCCTGATCCTCCACATCACGGCACTCCCATGGCATGATCTCCTACTTGTTGATTAGCGTGCAACAAAAGTAAAGCAGAAAACATATAGACCCACGAATTCCCGATTTGCCATTGCGATGGATTGGGCTGCAGAACCCGGCGAGGTTGCGAATTAGGAGGGTTCCTCCGTCTCGTGGCAGGCACGAATGGGTCTTGGTCTGTCGAGATGGAATGTTGGCGCGGGTGAGGGACTCTAAAATTTAATCCGTCGTTTTGGAGTTCAGCAATCTTTCGTTGCTGAACGAGAAGTGGATGGGGGGTTGAAGTTGCAGGTTCCAACGAATCGTTGATCAAGGCTCAAAGAGACAACGCCACCGATTAGGTAGGTTGAACCTTGACGTCGGTGACGCAGGGTACAACAGTTGGTCGGAGTGAGTACGGAGAACAGCGAGCGACCTTGCGATGCGACCCGCGACCGGAGAAAGAATAAAAAGTGAAACGAAGGTTTGAAGGGAAAAAAGAGAAAGATGTGGTTCGGGCGTTCGTCCTGACGTTATGATGGGGTGGAAATAAAAGTCAGAATGACGAGAGTCAGCCAAGCCGACAATCGGATGTCGGTCGGGTGAACAAATGGTGGGAAGGTGAGGGAGGAAGAAATTCCTCAATGGCCGAGTCGTAGGTAACAAGTCGGCAGTGACGGATGACGATGCCTGAATGAGGGAGTCCTGGCCGTGGTCGGGTCGGGCTGTCGAGTCGTTGAAGAGGTTAATCACTAGCGTATCCGTAGAAAGGTGACAAGAGCTCGCAGCTGAGTCGGGTCGGAATCGGCTTGTCGGTTTTTCGCGCCGTCTGCTGGCCCGCCTATTCTATTGTGATTCAGGGTCCGCGAGGGTTAAGGCAGACTGAAGTGAATCACTCTAAGCGAACCTGACGTGGTTCATCAGTGAGGATTGAACTCTGGGCGTAGGTGAAGGAAGGAAAAGGGGCGGTGGAGGGTTGATGTTGAAGGGAGCAATCACGAGGGAAAGGAAAAAAAAAAAGGTTCCAGAGATGAGAGATGACGAGGGGTAAGTGCGAAGCGACGCCGCCGGGAGAGGTGGCAGATCTGCGCGTAGGCGAGGGAAGGAAAGTGGACGGGACGGGGATGAGGCAGGCGAGGACTGGACCTTCTGGTGGAGTGCGGGTGACGGTGACGGCGGCCAGTGGCAGCAAAAATCGCCGACGTTTTTTTGTTGCCATTCTTTCCCTTTCCGCCCACATGGCTATGGTGGATGGTTGTGCTTGCCTACCTTACTCAGGTGGTAGGTGAGGTAGGTGAGGTAAGGAAGGTGCCTGCTCCCACGTTCGGCAGGCAAGCGGCGTTGCGCCGTCTCAGACTCTTCAGCTTTGACGGTGCCGATGTCCGCCGAAATTCCGACGTGAGGTTCTTTGCTGGTAGGCAGGCAGGCTGCAGACCGCACGTTCTTCTTTCCTAGGTAGCCACTTCTGTCTTCAAACCACGAGACTGACTACCTGTATCAATCTGCAGGCGCTGGGTTCGGGAAGAAATCATTCAATGTGAGATACTTGTCTTAGACTACTAATTCCCCTGGTACCTACCTAGGTAGTCACCTCACTGCGGAGAAGCGAGGTTGAGGTGGGATGGGGTTGCAATGCTCGCACCTGCTGTAGGCGAATGTGTTTAACCACGGCAGGAGCTGTTGCATTTGACGGGGGGAAGTGCTGAACGGAACGGGAACGGTTGTATCTTTCCTGGACGGGAAGCGCACACAGCAACTGCCACGACACACGAGACACTGGACGAGGCAATTGGCCGGCTGAAGTATGATTTAGTGGAGCCTCCTGCGACTGCCCGACGGCGATTACTCGCAGATTGGATGCATTGATTGCAGAATCCCATAAGCAGATGGATGGACGTGGAGATGACGATGCTTTTGGGGAAAATGAGGGAAACAACCACAGAAACGAAGCAGTGATGAGCAGGAACGGCAGGGGCAGGGGGCAAGAGGTACCTAGCGTAAGGTAAACAGGGGTGGGTAAGAAGTACCTCAGGTAGCTTCCGAATCTGCTCTGGGCTCTTGAAGTCAATTGCAGTCGGGTGGAAACTCTAAAGGTTAGACGTCCAGCAACCAAGATGGGAATCGCTTCTTTTCTTTGGTGGGATCGTCTTTGACAAACAGCAGTTTGATATGCTTTACCAACGTGCCAAAATGCCTATTCAGAAACAGCCCAGGAAGCGTCTAACATGCGCAAACGTGGTTGTCTAGGTCTCCATCGTGACCTAATGTATGTCTTGGATTGATCCCGATCTGGACTTATACCAAAGGGCAGCCGCAGTTCGCAGTGCTGCATTCGAGGTACCATGCAATATCCTTTCCATAAGGTGGATGGGAATGTAAACAGAGTGCGCCTATCTACCTTGACATGAGGTACATTATGTAAGGCAGGAGGGAGTTGTCAAAGGCAGGAAAGGAGACACGGAGACAACTACGGATGGCCCGTTGTAGCTTCCCGAGCCGCATCACGATCGTTGTTTGGTGACAGCATCGGGCCCGCCAGTCACGACATTGTGAGAGTTGCGGACAGAGCACCTCAGTCTGATCCTCCAAGTCACGCAAAACTCTTACCCCAGATAATCGGTGCGACGACTAATCATATCACCTTTATCTCTCCGTGGTCGTCAATGCCTTCAGCTTTTTTGTCTGTGCCTCTCACATCTGCATCGCGACTGGAACTACGGAGAATAAAATGCCACACAGACCCGCGACAGCTGATGCCGCTGGCACAAGTCGCGATCGAAAGGCTCGAAGCTCGGATTGCGCTACCTTGCCTGGGCACTCATTGAAGACCTATAATCCCCATGAGGAGAACACATTCGTCAGTGGAGCTCTTCCCGTCGACCAAGAAGCTCAGGTGTTCAAGATTCCGATAGTGCATGTGCACTGAAACCAATGCAACGCAGCAACAGACTCACTCCAATGGAGCACTCCGCGCTCAGTGCCGGCATCAACATCAACCCAGCTCCAGCCACGCAAACAAGACGATCAATGATGAATTTAACCCCATAAAACGCGTCGTTCATCTAGACTTTCATGGAGCTGCCTACCTACCTTGCTACCTTACCTCATGGAACCCCATTTGTCCGTCGTGCCACTGCGGGCTGGCCCCTTCTATAGTAGGCAGGAACGCCATCTGCCCCTCAGCTCTTGACGTCATGATGTCTCGCCCATTCACTTCTCTGCAGCTCAAGCTCACTCACCTCCGCGCGACCGACACTGCGACCCGTAGTCACTCGGCCGTCGCTCAGTCACTAGCTAGCTAAGCTTACCTTAGGTAATTCCTTTTTGGAGACCTTTCCCAACGTGCTTTTTCGATGATGAAATCGGTCGTGCCTGGCTGTACGTAGCTACAGCAATGAGGTCAGCTCGCCTGAGGGGCCGCCCTAGGTAGGAGGGGTTCAAATACTCCTTCTACAAGAATCTCCCTCGCGCAATTCAATGTCTTCTCCTGCACTTTTCTCACGATCCATCATTCGGACTGTTCAGCTCAATCGACGCGTTCAATCCTATTCACAACTAATCAATCTTCCCAAAACTACCAACTCACTCCCAAGAATTCCATTCATCATGTCTTTCTCAAACACTTCCACCGGCAGCAAGCCCGCCGACCCCTACAAGGCGACAAACCAGGACAACGATGTCTCCGTCAAGGATAAGGTCGAGTCCTTCGTTAGCTTCGCCGACAAGACCAAGTTCGCCATGATGACCACCAGAGACGCAAAGTCTGGCGCTCTCGTCTCCCGCGCCATGGCTCTCGCCGCAACGGTTCGTTTTCTTCCCTGACACCTCACTTCGTCCCTTCACAAGACCTTCCTTCCTAAGATTCTTTTAGGAAAACGGCGGCGTTGATCTGCTGTTCCACACCAACACCGAGTCCAACAAGACGGATGAGATTGACAGCGATCCCCACATCAACATCTCCTTCATCAACAGCTCAGGCGACTGGGCCTCCGTCTCTGGTGTATCTAGCGTCATTACCGACCGCTCGCTGGTGAAGAAGCACTACAGCCCTACCCTTAAGGCGTGGGTCGGTGACCTTGGTGACGGTACCCATGACGGTTCTGAGAACGATCCCCGCATCGGCATCATCCGCGTCAAGACCGTCAGCATCACCTATGCCCTCAGCAATGCTACCTTCATCGGCAAGGTTGCTCAGCTGGCCGAGGGTGTCGTGACCGGCAGCCCAGCAAAGGTTAATAAGTTGAGAGAGGTGTCTTCCCAGGAGGTTGAGCAGTACCGCTCCGCCTCCTCTTGAGTTGGGATGCAAAGGAGTTGTAGTAATGGCGGTGGCATGTAAGAATAGCACGATGTAGATGAAGGTTATCGGGGGAATAAGCCACAAAACCCCGCCCAGTCATGACGATTATTGCTTCCCATAATCCGCGGCCCAGCTCTTGTCAAATGTCTCCTTGTTCACCGCGAACTCACGAATGTAGTCACGCTCCAGCTCGTGTGCCCTCCTGCCAAGGAGAACCATGCTGTGAAGCGGGCCACCCAGGATCTCATCCGTATCGCAGAGCTCCTTGAGCGTGCCAGCAACATACTTCTCAGTCTTGCCTCCCACGCGTGCTGCCCCGATAGCCAAGCTGTCAGGCGTGTACACGCCCTCCTTCTTATCATCTTCAATCTCGAGCATCTGCGCAGCGCACTGGCCGACAGTCATGTACCGCGGCGGCTGGTAGACCCTCCGTCCCCTCGCCATATCCTCGAGACTCTGCTCCTTGACCTTAATGTCGAGCAGGATGAGCGTGTGCAGGCCGATGTCGCGGTTCTCCTTGATGCGGTCGTAAAAAGAGGCCGGCTTCCAGGTCTCGGTGAAGAAGACCATGGAGACGGTCTGGCCAAAGTTGTAGAGCTGCAAGCCCGTGGCGCCGATGCCGGACATGATGGAAGCGTTGGGGACGGTGGCGACGGGGATGGACAGCTCGCGGGCGCGGAGGACGAGGTCGGTATGCGTCGTCGCGCCGAAGGGGTCGCCGACGACGCAGAAGGCTACGTCTTCGGTCTGGGCGTCGCGGAGGATCTCGTCGCTGTTGGATTCGACCATTTCGCGGTCTGCTACTACGATTTCGCGGCCATAGTAGGCTTCCTAGATGGTTTGACGCAAGTGTTAGACAAAAAGATGTCATGAAGAGAGTCACTGTCGAGGAGGGGAATGGTTAAGAGGTATGGGGACACACCAAGACGGCCTTGTCGACGAGGAGGATACTCGTGTAGGCTTCCAGGTAGACTCTCGAGGCCTTCTTGACAACTTCGAGGCCCTTAACTGTGATGTCGGTCTCGTCGGAGAGACCCAGTCCCACGAGGTACAGCATTTCAGCAGTTGTTCTTTCTCACTTGTCAAGAGGGGAAGATTTGTGCCTGCTGGGATATCGAGTCGTCGGAAATCGGTCAAGAAATATGAAAATTCGTTGAAGTTGGGCTTAACTTTTTTCTTCCACACCTTGGAGGGGGAATTGGATGGAGGGGTAGGTATCTTTTTTTCTTAGCGCTACAACCCCACCATCGCACCCCCTGGACCCTGTCTCGCCTGGCCCCTCCCAATTCTGATCCCCAACCCCTGCAGCCTCACTCGACCCCAGCTCGGCTTTCCAGGCATCAAATTTCATCATCGAACGCGTTTGGCCAAGCTCTGTATCCATCAATCACCCAAGTGCTCGTCACAATCCCTAAGCAACGAACGAATCCGATCCCGATATTCTCGACATATCTTCCCTTTTCACATCGCGAAAATTCCGACAGGGAGCACTGTCACGAAGTACCCACCTTCAGAGCGAAAACCCGCACGAAACCCAAACAATGGCCGACAAGAAAGCAAGCGCCTACGGCGCGCCCGCCGGCGACACCGACTTCCGCAAAACCTACGACCTAGACGAATACGCAGCCAAAGCCAAAGATCGCGAAGCCAAAGAAAAAGAAGAAGCCAAAGCCCGGTACGAGGCCAAGCTCGCGGGCAAGAAATACTACAAGCCCCTGACGGGCGACGAGACCCTCACGCAGGCGCGGCGCAACGTCCTGGACCTCAGCGCGCAGGTCGGCAAGACGCAGCTCGTGCCCGCGGGCGCGGGCGTGGGCAAGAGGGGCCGCGGCGCGGGATTCTACTGCGAGCCGTGTGATCTCACGTTCAAGGACAACAAGCAGTTTGTGGAGCACTTGAATACGCCGCAGCACTTGGCCAACACGGGGCAGAAGACCGAGGTCAAGAGGGCGAGTGCGGAGGAAGTGAGGAAGAGGATTGAGTGGCATTGGCAGCGGAAGCTGGATTTGGAAAAGGAGAAGGCGACGAGTTTGCAGGACAGGCTTGCGTTGCGGGAGGAGGAGAATGCGAAGGAGGCGGAGGAGAGGAGGAAGAAGAGGAAGGACGCGGAAGAGAGGAGGAGGGCTGAGAAAGAGGCGGCGGAGAAGGTGAAGACGGAGTATGGAGATGATGTGAGGATCGAGGGCGAGCATGACGAAGATGATATGATGGCTGCGATGGGAATTACCGGGTTCGGAGGAACGAAGAAGAAATAAGCTGTGCTGGGGGGTCAGGCGATTCTAAGAGCTGTACGATGATCAGGACGCGAGAAATGATACCCTTGTTTGGAAACACGATGGGAAGAAAGATCCCGATATTCGAAGAATTGTTATGGACGTGGGAAGATACGAATTGACTCGAGGCGGTACGTTGGTTCTCCGGCAGTCTCCCCAATTCTCAATTCTTGGCTGCCTTCTCTCACCGAGATCCTGACGGTGTGCCTCGGTGAGGTTCCTGACCGAAGCCCCTCAGACACCGGCACCTCGAACCCCTGCAGCTCGGGTAACCCCACCTTCGCATTGGCTCCGATTTCGACAACCAGCCCGCGGTCGGGTCCCTTTGCCGCCATCAGCAACCTCTTCACGTTGGATATTTCCAGTCCTTTCCCACCTCACTCGAAGAACGAAATCGAGCAAACAACAACAAGCCCGAGCCTACAAAGCCGGCCCTCGAACAATCGCGTTTGATCTTTCTCAATTTCCCCCAGTCGAAGCCGCATCGGAACATTTAACGACCATTGCCCCACGCACGCCCATCGTCCGCATTCCCTCGATTAATTGTGCTTGCTGTCTCCAAGCGCAAACGACTCGAGACTCGATTTTGGTGTCACCGTCGATCGATCCTTACTACACGACATATACACAAGCACCCATACACATACAGCTACAGGAAAACACAGATCAGAGCTTTGCGATATCATGGCATCGTCATCTGCAGCTGCGGCATCGCTGCTGGGTCGGCAGCTCAAGGAGATGCAAACGGGAAAGGACATCCCCGGCATCTCGTGCGGGCTGGTCAATGACAATAGCATCTTTGAGTGGGAGGTGATGCTCATGATTAGCGACGACTGCAAGTACTATGGAGGTATGTTCTTCTTCTTCCACTCTTTGCTCAAAGCAGACTCAGCCCGTCAAAGCTTACCAAGCTGCCTGCCCCCCTTCCCCCTCCCACCCTCCTCCCCTCCTACCCGCGCGCAATAGGCTAACATACTTCTCTTCAAACAATAGGAGGCAACTTCCGCGCCAGACTCACCTTCCCGGCAAATTACCCCCTCATGCCGCCCTCCCTCACCTTCCAGACGCCCATCCCCTTCCACCCAAATATCTACCCGGACGGCCGCCTCTGCATCTCGATCCTCCACCCGCCCGAGGAGGACCAGTACGGCTACGAGGCGGCCTCGGAGCGGTGGAGCCCCGTCCAGAGCCCCGAGACGATTCTGCTGAGCACCATCAGCCTCTTCCACGGCCCCAATGATGAGTCGCCCGCCAACGTCGAGGCCGCGCGCATGTTTCGCGAGGAGCGCGAGGGAAAGAATAAGGACTTTCGGAGACGGTGTCGGGCTTGTGTGAGGGAGAGCTTGGGGGAGGATTGAAGGGGAGCAACTTGGGAATATGTTCTTATTGTCCGTGAGCCCTGGGTGGCATGGCAGCGACTGGCCGGTCAGATGATTTGATGAGACAGAGGCGAAGAAGGGCGGAATTTGGACGGGGGTCCTGCATCATGGCGTTTGGAGATATCTACAGCATTGAAGCAGGCTGGGTTGGCATATAAATTGACGCCTTTTCAATTCTCAAAGGAGTACTCAGTATTACAGGCGTATCTGCGATTGCACGTAAAGTTTGCACGTCCAGTTTGCACGTCCTCTAAGGTTTATTGGGGGCCTCAGCCAGTCCCTGTGGATAAACGAATGAGATCATGCTCTATGATCACCACCATCCATTGCCTTGGACTCTGAGCTACACGTGACGTGTTTCCCTTTGCAATAGCACCTCTCTACTAGGTTAGGTTTATGGCTCTCCCTCAGCCTCAAGGCCTTTCGTTTCTAATCCTCTCCTTCTATTGTCGCCCCCATCTATACGGAATTTGTTCTCCGTTGCCTTTGGCATCTGTTTTACAGACTATGACACAACACGGAATTCAACGCCTAAGAAAGAGTACGCGAAATATCTCCACGCCCATGTGAGCCTCCAGCCTCTCCCGTCTCCGAGCCCTAGCATTTTCAACGCTTACCCATTTGTTCGAATGAGCAAGCTGACGTTTCCCTGGGACAAGCCATAGTTCACAGCTAAGCCCCTCCCATCGCGTCCGCTAGTAGGACTTACGCAGGGGGCGGTCGTTGAAAAGCCCTCCCTTTATCCCGGACGCCATAGTTGCCTACAGGAGATCAGGCATTTTGGTTGGAGAAGGGAGCTCTAAGCTGCGGTTTTGGGGTCTAATTGAAAGTGAAGATGATGGGTCCAGTATTAGCGAATTTAGTGGACGTGACTTCTGGACTTTTTGACCATTGTTGATGATTGCGTCTTTTTCTACAAGACACTTTGAAGCCAGGTTTGTGTTGGAGCATGTAGCTCCATGTCCACGGTCTCGGTAGTGCTCCCAATTCAAGTGACAAGTTTGGTTTTGCCACGACGCCAACGATGACAGACACATGAATAGTACATGTATTGCAAAGAATCGTACCTAGTAACAACGAGAACGGCGAAAGACAGCTGGCTCGGTTTTAAGCCTCATTTCTGAAAAGTTCCAGCCGCTAGTCGTTGGTTCTGAATTCGGCGGCGCCGACATACCAGGCAGGCAGGGAAACTTCCGCGGCTGAACATTCATGTCTCACACTACAAGGTAGTCAAAGCCGGGAGAGAAAGGTAAATGACCTGCGCCAAAGCCGTTCTTGTCAATATCGTCCGTTTTCCTGCCCCGCACTTAGCCCTGCCACCAGCTTACACCCCTTAACCATCCAGACTAACAGGCAACTAGTCGCTTGTAGGTTGTCGAATATCACGAGATTGTCCTCGCATCAACACACCCGTCGCCCCACAAAGTAGCTCAAGTATTGGCCAGCACCGTTGAGCGGGACCTTTTGTTTAGACCGTCGACCTCCTCGCAGCTAGAATGACTTTTATCGTTGACTTAATTGCAAGAGGACGAGCCCTCGTTACGCTCACACTCAGGCCATCCCGCTAACTCCTAAGAAGCCAAGGATCTCAATGGTCATGGCGAGGGTCCTTCTCCGTGCCCACACCAAACTGAACTCGGTGTGTCATGACGGAAGCGACTTAGGACGGCCCGTTAGTCAGATCGGTCAAACGGAACAGATCCAGTCGTAAGATCAGACCCCATGCGAATTCATGACCAGTCACGACGCGTCATTGCTGGGGCCGCAGGGTCGGGTGCTACCGAACCAGTCTGCGTCTTACAAACCAGCCCTACGAGACTGTATGGCATTGTTTAGTCTTGAGATAGAGTTCGCGCCAGAATAAGACACCATCCTCCCGTTCAACTGCCCTGGCTGTGATGATCTAAGCGTTAAGCTTATTACTAAGTCAAATTGGGGTTGATTTCCATCAGCGTGAACTACTTCTAGGTCGTACCGCCTACTTGCTTCGTGACATCGACATACTCTGGACACGTTGATGACCAAAAGCCCCAGGCAACCACTTACCACATTAGAAAATTAGTAGTAGAGATAGACTAGTCAAGTACCACTAGCACGGAAAGGCCCGTCTGCATGGGGGCTTGGGGTAACAACCTACGCTGTAAACTTAATACCTGTCAAGTTAGATCTGACTCCTCTCGACGTTAAGTGTCGAATCATCTACTAGATCTACTCTGTTGCTATCACTTTCAGTCCTTCCCGCTAAGCTCTTCCAGACGACCATGCCAATGTCTGGCTGTTTGTGGCATCAAGAAAGAGATACTGGAGGCTTTTTGCCATGTAGTGATGATACAAGCCAACCCACACTCAATGAGATGACGTTACATGTAGGCTATCAGATGTAAACGTCGAACTCAACGCAAGTTCTCTTACGGCTAAGACTACCGCATCTCTATTATATATCAGTTCATGAATCTCTCTTCATTTCCCGAGAAAGACAATGAACAGCAGCATTCTCATCTTAACCTCACAAAGTCAGAGCTGAAGCACTCATCTTCCACAATCTTCCCTTTTTACTTCCTATTGATCCTCTCTGAAGACTCCCTCCAGTCTTTTCTGGAACCAAAATCCAACTATCGCAACGATAGCAACGACGGTATCGAGACTTTGAGACGCACGCCTCTAGAACTCCTCCTGTCTCCGACTCAACCTTCGTTATTATCCCCCAAAGCTATGGCGGATCCGATCTCAGTCGCATTGGTCGGCGCAGCAGCTACGGTTGCTGTATCCCTCATTACGGCAGCCGCACCCGAAATCAAACAGAACCTCAAGGGCTGTAGGACTGGACGGTTGTTTCGCAAGCTCAACAAGGCCCTGCAATTCCCAGAAAGTATGACCCAGCTAGTTCACCTGACATTATTTGGCATTATATGCGGAGGCTTGAATTTGAATGCTGACCAGGTATGATAGAGAATCATTGTGCCATTGCTCGCCTTATTGAAAAGATCTACGACAGACAGCGCCGAGGAGCATCTCTGACTTCGTTTCAACAGGTGGAATTGGCTCGTGCTGAGCAAATATGGTCTACTCTGTGAGGTGAGTCGATAGCTATTAGCTCCAAGATATCCTTTAGTCATGTGTCAAGGTTAACAAAGGGTCTACAGACGAGTTGGACCGTGACAAAGATTGTTATATTGAAAGGAATGCGTGCTTACCTACTTAACTGTATGGTCGTTTATTACTTGTCTTTCGACCTCGACGATAATTACCTAATGGCACTTTCCCCCATGTTTCTTCGTTCTCACTCAAATGCTGGGGTAGTATTGGATGGGGACACCAAGATGAGAATCATCGTTGGATCGCGAACGCATGCTGGAGGGCTTTTTATCGGGCATTACTTGCTAGTATTTTATATTACATCGAATTAGATTATGATATACTGGAATTAGCATTTAGGCCGTTGAATCAAGTGTTCTCATGAAGGTAAATGTCATGTTTCGTCCATAGTATTACCTTCCTCTCAATATTGGCTGTATTGCGTTGCAATTCACTTTGACTGGATTACGAGAAGGATTGTTGAATTGATGTAGTTGTGGTAAATGAAGCGCCGAGTTACTCGTTATATCAAAGATGGAGACGCCCGTATACCCCACGGAATCCCGTAAGGGAGATCTGAGAGTTAAGAGCCTAAGTACTAACTTGTCGAGGCCCGGGGACTCTTGACTTCGAAATTATTGACCCTCTAGACAATTCATAGCACGTGAGGCACAGTACATATGTACCACGATCCCGATTCTCGAAGTCAGATGAAAGTTTCCCTATGTTTGAGCACAATGGATTTTCTATGGGGCCTCTATGAAAGCAACATCTTATGCTCGTCTCAGATCAGTCATGAGTTTGGGGGAATGTCATGCTCCCAGCGCGGTACACAAGCAACAACCAGAAGAAGAAAACAAAAGAGTACAATGCCGCCTGCTCAAGATTGGTTAATCAAGGAAAATGGGTATATGGGTATCAGAATCAAAAGCTCTTCACAATGGGAGCGCGTCTTCCGATAACGCCGTCTGCCTCGTCAACCTGAAGCTGCAGAGCGAGGGAGTCGGCACCTTCGTACTTGCCCTTCTGCTTCCAGAAGAAGTCCTTGCCCGACTTGGTCTTGGCACGGAATGTGGCCTCGGCTTCGACGTCCATCTTGAAGATTGTGAAGAAGGAGGAGCCGACGCAGTACTTCTTGGGCGGGCACTTGAGGTTGATGGTGGCGGACTTGGTCAATGTCTCGCCCTCGGTGTCTTCCTCAGTCTGAAATGGTCATATCGTTAGCGAAGTTATTCAGGATGTGTTTATTGAGGGAGATTATAACTTACGGTGGTCTTCTGCACCTGCCAGGAGAACTCAGTCGTCACCTTAGTCTTTCCAATGAGCGGGATGCCAGCCTCAGCCTCGACGGCAACGCGGCCGCCAACATTCCACTGGTTTGCAACGCTGAGAGTATGAGATTTGGTGACGGCATCCATCGTCATGATCGTAATGATTTGCTCAGCAGTGGAGTTACGGTTGTCAACAATCTGGGATCCGACAGTCATCGTCTGTCCGGGGCCGGAAGGCATGATGTTGTCCGTAAAGCCAGAGTAAGCAATGTTGCTGATGGAGACGGACTGAAGCTCATCGAGAAAGTCAAAGCCGAGATGACCGATCAGACCAATATTGCAGTACTGCACGCGCATACGGCCCAGGATGCCGGATCCGACGGGGACCTTTTGCATGGGGGGAGGGTCGCGGAGGACCTGGCCCATGGCAGAGTATGTCTTTCCGCTGGTGGTTGTGAAGTTGAAGCCGTGGAAAGAACCGCGGTTCTCGAGAACCCAGAATTCCTTGATGCGGTCGCCGTTCTCGAATTTGAAGACGCCGGCATCGGCCCAGCCTTCGAGTTTCTGTAGAAACTCTTGTCAGACTCACGATATGCATTACTCTGAAGAATAACGAATGTTTACTTACGCTGGTGATTGAACTTGTGTTTCCACTGCTGCTAGTAGCGTTGATGGCGCGCATGTTGGTAGATCCAGTGAAGAACTGAATAGAATCAAATGGCCCGTTGAGTTCCTCAGAGTGGCAGTTGGCAGAGTTGCTATCGATGACGTTGATATCACCGACATCGACCGAAACGAAGGCGTCGCTGGTGGCGACCGTCAAAGAGTTGGGAACGGTGCTCGACGCGGCGTCCTGGCGCTTGACTCTGTTCGGCTCCGGGGTCTGCGTCGGGCGGATAGACTTTGTGAGGGAGTCCTTGAGGCGCTCGAGGCCCTCGAGATCAAGAGGGCCGTGGTCTATGATGGTTGGCGTGACATTTTCCAAGGGCGCCGAGATGACCTTGACACCTCGAGCATCGACGCTGCCGACGGGAGAGGACAATGCGAGGCCCGGGAGCAGAGCGGCACCTACCAAGAGGTGCTTGAAAAAGAGTGTGTTGAAAGACATATTTTCGCACAAGAAAAGAAGGACTGTTAAAAAAGATTGACAAGTTCTCAAAAAGAACGACTGTGGTGTTGGAAGCGAAGGAAGTTGATGGGAGACAAGCTGCTGTGGGAATGTTTGTTGATGTCCTCAACCTCCCGTCTTTATACAACTCGACTGACCTACATGACCCACGACATCTTCATCTACTATACCTAGAGAAGAGCGCAATATAGACGCCGATAGACCAAACGGTCACACTGGCCCGTCTCGAATAGAACCAGACTTCCGGAGTGGTGAGCAAGTGGGGCGCGCCTAGTCTTGCGATGCTAGTCAGGGGAAGGGATGGCAGCCTTTCTGGGCTCTCGGCGAAATGGAGACCAGATGAACGTCTTCTGAGTATTGCCTAGGATCATGTTATTTATGGTATGATGAATTGCCTAGAGTTTTGCATGTTTTGCAGGCCTCACTGTCTTCCAGAACTTAATTTTGAGGAACGTCACATTAGAATGGAGATTTCAGCGTCACATGAAGGTAGATCCTCTTATGCTGAAGTAGAAACCCTGGACACATGCGAATCTACCATCCGCAGAGCGTTCAGCTACGCCTCAGCCGATAGCCTCGAAAATCCTTAGACGTGCCAATGAGAGAAAACGGGCTGACCTCAATTCTCTTTCCGATAAGAGCGGTCGCGGGCGGTCTACTAGCGCAATCTTCACGAAAACGAGGCCTTGGAAGGGCAGGCCTGGTAAGGCTGAGGAGAAGCAGCTGAAAAGCATGGGTTCCCAAGGTAATGTCAGGGGTCTCGACTTTCGTCCCCGCATATCCGCGCGCCGCGCGCGTGCGAAGGCAGACATCTAAGAGGGGCTCCCTGGCAGCTGGAAATAGAAACGAGGGGCAGAAAATCAATCATCTGATGACCCATTGAGCAGCAAGTTTCTCATCGTCGTGATTAATCAAGGCATTTTCCAAAAGCTGGTATTTGGGCAGTCTGGTCCCCGATTTTGTTTCTGCTTGAATGCTGATTGATGAAGCTCTCCATCTGACAGCTGCCACATTCACCAGGGACATATTTACTTCTGTGCGTCCCATATGATAGCGCCCCTAGACTATTGTCCCCTTTCGGTGGCGAAGGGGAATATACGTCTGGCCGACTTGCTTGTATCGTCTGATGGCATTCGGCTTCATCGCAACTGGAACCTTGGCGCTGAAACGCTACTTGGCTTGCCAAATTGCATCACTTGCTGTGTACAAATTGTACCTTGGCACAATAATCAAGACAAACGGGTCCCTTGTCACAGATTAGTGTACTTGAGAAATGGTGATGAGTCGCTGATAGCGAAATTCTGCCCTAGTTTGAGGTCAAACGACTTGCTCCCACCCATTCACCCCTGATCTTGGCTGCCACGCAGCGGACGGGAGCTCGGCACGAAGCATGAGCCTGGCAGTATGGCTTTGGCCATGTTGCACTTGAAATGGCTTCCAACGCGTCCCCCCCATGTGCATAGTTCGTGATATCCCCCGTCTTCCTCTCTGACTTGCAAGGGGAAATGTGCGTTAGACTAGCTCCAGCCACGGCTACTCCGCGATAACGTCGAAACGTGGGGAAAATGGAAGACTTTAGTTGCTAACTCAATTGACTATACTTTTCTGGGGTTCTGAAAACGGAAGGTCGCTTTCTACCGAGCCGCTGGGTCGGCGAAGATCTATCTCTAGATAGAATCTCACTCGTACGAGGTCGGCCATTGTCTATCAGTCATTGAGTTGCTGCATTTTAGGGTTACTTATCAAGGAGTGCATGTACCAAGTACGCCGAGACCGCGAACTTACCTTGTGTCCGCGGCTTTAGAGAGTGATTAGGTCTTGTGAGAGTTTTGTCATGATAATTGTATAGAGTGACGGGCAGAGAAAGCATAAGTAAGCACCAGCCACGCCTTTCTCGGCAACTCTCCAAATCTCATTGGATCGGAAGTGTCATGACCTCTCCTATCCGGTATAATCGGCCTCGAGGAGCTTGCTCCCTTAAACATCTTCTCGCCCGGCCGAAACGGAATGCGGAACCCGCTTGTTGTCCGTTGATCAACGACAATAAGGGCAACGTCGATGCGTTGTGTGGGTAATTGGCAGATGGCAGTGAAATGTCAAGTAAAGTAAGTCTCAAAGAAGCAGGAAATACTTGCCCTCGATATAGAATACGAAGGGTACTCGCCTATCGTGACGCAAAGAAGTTGTGGAGATGTTAGGACTTTACGATCCAGAGCCAAGCTTAAATCTTAGCATCGGTATGCTATCGCTCAATTTGAGACGCGCTACTGGGGGTGTCCATGATTCAGTTGATCAGATACAGGCTGCGCTGACTCGCTCGTGGATAGCATACCTATGCTGAGTAAACAGCTTCGCGCGTTTACGCATTGGCACTGGCTTCTTCTCCCTTGTGGATGATTGAGTCAAAACCACGTTTTCTTCCCTTTGAATCGTCGCGCATTGTGAACAATGCTGTGGAACCTTCCTATTCTCCGAGGTCTCGCCAGTTGGAGCCCTCTCGCTCGGATGGAGCGCACTGCTACACACATCAGAATCAGTTGAAATCAATTCTTGGCCGAGAAATACACATTAGCTGTGAGGAACTGACCGGTGGGATAAGTGCAACTGAGCTTAGCTTCTGATTTGTCTTGATCATGTCCTGACAAATGTGCTGCCTAAGCTCATGTGACCTGAGGCAATCGAGTCGGCGATCCAAGACAGACCCCTTGACTACTAGTCTCCCAACAAGCTGAAGGGGATGTGACGTTGGGGAGGGAATCCCTGCATACAATATGATTGGCCAAACACGTGCCGACATGGAACCACCTTCGTCTCTGACCTGTCTCCGCAAGTCAACTGGGATGAACCAACTTCCAGCACCACTCGCAAGCGAGGCCCAGCCCGCCGGTTCCATCATCTCATATCGATTATACTAACATCAATGGGCGATATCGGCGTTGATACACGGGCCCTCTGTGCCATTGGCGCTGCGGTCATTCTGGCTGGCCCGGTCGCATCTCACTTGTTCTACAGCGATAAAGACAGGAGCTTGACGTCGCGACTTGAGCGCTGGCTTCGACCTCCGCCACAATATGCGCACGACTCACTTGAAGAGGGTCAATTTCGCCTCATTCACTTGCTCCCTGGACATGACGAGGACGATGTTCGGATTGATCTCACTAACGAGTGGCTCAAGGAACCAATCAAATACCATGCCGTTTCCTATGCCTGGGGAGATGCCCGGGACAAAGCTTACATCATCTGCAAAGGGAAAGAGATTCAAATCACCAAAACTCTGTTCGAAGCACTGAAGCGCTGGCGCTCCCCTATTGAGGAGGTTGTACTTTGGGCCGACTCTATTTGCATCAACCAGAAGAACACCTTGGAGAAAACCCAACAGATTGGCCGAATGTCGGAAATTTACTCAAATGCAGAATCTGTCAAAATCTGGCTTGGAAGTGATGATTCCAACATCGATGGAATCCAGAAGGTTATCGAGGAGGCATCTGAGATCATCCCTGAGGTTGTGGACGATCCTCATCAGAACAGAAAAAGTGCAGATATCCTTGCCACTCGCAACCAGGAACGAACCCGAGACGGCAAGACTACCGTCTGGAATCTGGACTGGAAACCTCTCAGAGCACTAATGAACCACACTTGGTTCGAAAGAAAGTGGGTTTATCAAGAGGCGATTCTCAACGATAACACCTGGCTCTATTGCGGGAAGCTCATGATGCCTTTTCAACCACTCTCAGAGCTGGCCCTGAGAATGTCAACGTTTGGAATCCAAGCTCTGCCGAAGGATGGAACCGTGAATGACAACAATGTGACTTTTCTCCCAACCCGTCTCTACAACCTTTCGATGATGCGCATGAGCCAATGGTACCGAGGCAAGCAACCTGTCACTCTGATGGACGGCGTTAAAGCCACCAGAGCTTTTCAATGTACCGATCCTCGAGACCACATTCTGGGTGTCTTGGGCTACGCATCAGATGTCGAGAAAGATAGCATCATATCCCGAGACAACTTATACTCTCTCTCGGTTCAAGAGTGTTACATACGCTTCGCCCGATCTCAGCTGCTAGAGAAGAACGACCTCGGTGTTCTGGCATGCGCGCCCCAGAAGCTGATCACCGACGTTACGCTCCCCTGGTACTACCGACCTATTTACCGATGGAAGCGTCGAAGGCTGTCAGATCTCCCAACTTGGGTACCTGACTTGAGGAATCAGGAGTTTGATGCTTTGCCAAGCTACAGCGTTCGGTATGGCAAGTTCTCAGCCGGCGGGATACAGCTTGGGAAAGTCGAAATCATCGATGGCAAGATACTAAGGTGTTCTGGCATGCTCATTGATACCATCGAGGAAGATGGGATCTCCTGGCCCGAGCTACCACTCCCACCGAAACCTAAGCGCGTCCCGTACCCGCTTGACAAGATGGATGCCTACTACGCCCGAAATTCCATAAGGTCGCTCAACTTCTACAAATCCTGCGTTCGAATTGCGTCAGGTTCTGATCGCATCCAAGACATGTCCCCTGAACGCCTCTCTGAATTCTGGAAGACTCTGACGTCTGAGAGAAGCCAGCTGAGCGACCGCATCGACGTCGACCTGTCAGAGTCTATCAAGACTATGATAACGAACATGGAGACCTGGCTCGTTTCCGAAGACCCCGAAGAGGCGAATAAGGCTCGATTGACTTTTGTCGCGGCTGCTGTGGCGGTGGAGATGACTATCCTGGCTGCTGTCAGCCCACGGAGGTTCTCTCGCACAACGGTCGGTAGGCTGTGCTTGGTGCCCAGAGATGCAAAGGTTGGCGATTCGATATGCTTGCTGCTTGGTTCCGAGGTTCCTTTCGTGATTCGACCTACGAAGGGAGGCAGGTTCGAGCTTATTGGGGATGCGTACGTTAGTGGGGTCATGGACGGAGAAGCCATTGCGTCTGGCGAATATCCCGAGACAGGAATCAATTTAGAGTAGCGCAATCACACGTTTCTGGAATGCCTATGTGAGCCTTCGGAGACAACAAACATTGGAAAAGATGACTTTGGATTCTCAGATGACGTCTACTAGTGGTCAATGAGTACATGATAACGGAAGACAAGTTTCAGCCCAAGCTCAAGATCCCACCAGGTCTGTGCTCGCGTATATGTGTTTAATGTGACTCCATCGCTCGAGTGACAGGCAAGTATCGGAATGATCGGATGGTTTTGGAGATGCGATAGGGTGTATGGCAGGATCCCATCGTTTCATCGACGAGACAAGCTTCCATTGACCAAGCAGACCTTAGCCATCTTAAGTCCGATGCTGAGAGAACTCTATGGGGACTGTTTGGGATGCCAGGTGTAAGCAGCATGAATTTTCAAACACATGTTCAAGTACTCGGCACAGTCGATGCCGCAAGACACAGGCCCATTCTATTATCCATTCCACTGAATCCATGATAGGAGTTAATACTGTGGGCCACTTGAGCTGATCGCGCCGGATCTCTCGCTGATAATTGTGTTGTCCCTGAACTCGCGAGCGATATTGGTGGTGGAATCGCCAACAGAGCCCTTGCGGTTGCAGCCCCTGTATCCGGGACACATAATTGGTATCAGCCACTTTTCTTCGTTGTCATGGACTTTTTGAAGCACTTTATTGCTCTGTTGTTAGTTTCCCATTAAGGTGACATCGCCGGTGCTGAATGGAAGGCCAGTCGGGAGAGAGACAGCCAGAGCAGCAAGAAAGGGAAGCAAAATCTGGACGCACTTCACCGTGAGAGAAACAGAAGAATGAAGAAGTGTTGACCCTCTTGGAGAGACGTGTGGGCGGATGGAGGATGATCGAGAGTGGTGGCCCTAGGTCAGGACTAACAATGCATGTGATAGCGAGGACTGGAAACGAACAGGAAAGAAAACGTTATGTTGCTTTCTTATAGTCAACTTCTGAGAAATATCTAGAAACACAGAGCTCTGTTCAACATGATGGTGTTGTATGTCGATGTCATCTTCTGAGGTTAATACTTTTGGTTTATGTTATATAGCTGACAGCAATAGTTGTTGTGCAAGTATGTTTTCATTAAAGGTAGAGTAAATTTTGAAAGAAAGACCAGCAGACATAGTACAGAATTGCTTAAATCTTGGGCTGCAAGGTGTTGCGGCACCTATCTCAGAATTGCCTCACATGATTCATCTCCAAGAGGCCGACAATGCCGAATTCACAGGTAGTTTCTTCGGCCAAGCTAGCTAATACAAGAAACTCAGGACTCGTGCTACGAGTTTACCGCTTGCTACGCTCCTCGACCTGTCTGTTCTAGCTTCCGTTGCATTATGTATCGCATGCGATAGGAGAGTCGCCGTCCTTGTCAGTCCCTTAGTCTGATTTGATATTTGCACAAGCTGCACCCGTGTTCCTCGTATTGCTACGGGCAAGCCTAAGAGGCATCTTGTCCAAGTCTGTTTAAGAGCAAGCTTTGACGATCAGTAGTGGCCAACGTAGACTGCAATCCGACACAGAGGTCCAAGTTGTAACTTGTAGCATTTCAGACGACTGTCCTAACTCGCGGACAGTGGTGTCATCCGCCAGGCAGACAATTCTACAGATTCATGGGAGCTGCCACGTTCATCCAATGGACAGCCAAATATGAGACACCTTTAGGTTCTGTCTAGACAGCCGACTAACAATTCACACACCACGGCATTGCAGAACAGGCGGTGAACTTGCGGGATGATATTTCACCGTGTGCTCAATTGACCTAGCGCGTCCCAAGAAAACGGTGAATCCACAACCTCGACGCGTGTGTGTTTCCAATCTCGCCCTATTCAAAGTTTATAACCGGCGTGGTGGACTTTTCGAGTTCCTTCTCGGCAGGCAAATTTACACCTTGTCTGAAACTGGGTCCCTGTCTGAGAGATGCTGGATACAAAGCCACAATATCAGAAAGGGTTTCATAGCTTACTTACAATATAGACGACGGCGAAAGGATAAAAACGTAGAAGACCGACCCTGTAGTGGACGCATGATCTATCAAGAAAGTGAGTTACGTCAACAATTCTGGAACACTTACTGATAACTTATTTATCGTTTGCAAAAATAGAAGATGCGGCCAGTGTGGATTGAACACACGACCTTCAGATGTTTTGAATGAAGTTTTCAGGAAGGAATTCCACTTCAGTCTGACGCTCTCCCAACTGAGCTATGTCCGCCACGATCTTCGATGTTTACCCCTGGTGAAGCATGATTTCAAGTAGCCAGTGTGTGAAGGGGCAAAACCCACGATGCCCCCACTAGGGTTCCATTGACGCGGGCCTAGCAAGTTTATGAGCGGGGTGATTGCTTTTCTACCTTACGCATCCATAACGATACATTAGCCTAGATTCTTGATCCCAGCTCCGCAATGAAACCTGCAATAGTGCCTCACGCATATTCAGTTACTTTATAGATTTCACTCAGGATACACTTCATATTGTTATTGCCGCGGACGAGGTTGCGAATATCGTCAAAGAAAAGCTTGAAAATCAGGCTACTCTGACACTGGTATCATAAAGGTCACGGTCTTGAGGTCTCGTTCGACCTTTGGGATTTGGTCAATACTAGGATCACCCAAGGGCGTTACGTGAAGTCTATTCTGACGTTCGGAAACCCGCCAAAAGATGCCGGCATTGCCGTGTTTCCGGACCATTGACCCAGAAGTCCGGGGAAGTCCGGGCCTTCTGGCTTTGACATGTGAGCTGCAAAACTGCAAAAGTCATGCTGCTACTGCCTGCCGACAAGGTGGTGGGGGCTTGGGGACTTAGGGGATAGGTCGTAAATGTAAAGATCGGACCCGACTGGCTTGTCAGGCTGGCACATCTTACAAGCGGCCCGCACTCCGACCGCTTAGTTGGCTCCAGCCGGCAGAGTCCGCATCAAAGCACCAAATCAGACATCGTCCATACTAATGGTTTCATCACTTTAGACTAGGACAGCGTGGTCTCTTAAACCATGTACACGCCCCTGACTCGTGGAATCACGCCAAAATGTAGAAAATTAGAATGTAGCGACCTATCAAATGCCCCTGTACTGTCGAATAGTTACCGAGGTCGCGAAAACCTGCTCCCCCACCAGCGGCATAGCCAGGTCGCTAGTCGCGGCACGGTAGACAGACGTTTGACGGCACCTTCTGACAGGGAAGCGTATTATTTGACAAGCAATGAGGTTTTTAACTTGAAACCCCAAGTCGTGAAGTACACACACTTATTGGCAGCAGTCACGCCCAAAGGATAAGCAAATGCCAAGCTTTATAGACCATCAGACCGTGAACTTAAGTCTAATTCTAGGGAACTACAAGTCTCACCGGGTGTTTTTGAGGTTCGTGAATAAGAGATGCCTTGTGGTTTGCTAGATTGGCGGGCAGTAGATGGTGTGATCGGATACACGAGCCGGGCTCAGGGCGCTCAGGCAAAAGCTCTACGTGCAGCCGGTTACTTAGGCGGCGATCTGGTTGGTCGTGGTACAGATGCTGGGTTTCAGAGTCGGAGAAGTTGCCAGGCGAGCTCTACGTAGTGCTCGCTCATCCTGCACAACCCGAATTTTCTGATATTTTATTTTCCGTGGGGGCTAGGCTGGCACGGCTGGGCGGCGTGGTGGACCGGTGTTGGTGAATAACAGCGGAAGCGCGCCGACAAAACACAAGATCATCCAGCCAAGAATAGGACTTTTGCTGCTGGGTGTTTACTAGTTTGCCTGACTCAGCGGAATATCAGCAGTCGATCCAAGACAAGGTGACGCTTGAGTGTGGCGCCGAGCTTTCCAATGGAACTTGTCCGTCTAGGCTAGCCCCTTACACCACCCGAGAAAGTACGAATACGACTAGAGTACGAAGGCGTCCGCGGGTTGGATGCAGGTTATGCGTCCCCTCTATTAATCAACAGCCGTATCTTTCTACGCTGCATCAGGGCGTAATCAATCTATCGCCGGAGCTTGGCCAAGAGCGATTCGTCTCGTCGAGTTTATTGTCATGGCGGGAACGCCATGGTTTGATACCTACTTAACTAGTCGTTGTTTACCGATTCGGTCCGCCGCGTAGCTGTCATCGGACAGCACCGAGTACGAACATGCAATCAAACCCGTCACGACGGGCACATCCAAAAACTCGAACAGGCTGTAAGATTTGTAAATCGAGGAAGATCAAGGTAAGCACGTTTGTTACTACCGCTGTGTCCAGCTTGAATGCACGCGTGACAGTGGGTGGTAGTAGCAGGATCAGTGGTCCTGGTCTAGATGCCACCACGCCTCTCCTGTGTCTTGACCCTTGGAGTCGGGCTGGTGTGATGAATATCTTCACTCTCCTCAAATCTTCAGAAACCGGAAACTGACTTACGAGACTCTTCTAGTGTGATGAGCAGCGACCAGCCTGCAAAAACTGCCTCAAACATGGCGTGGCTTGCGGCTTTCTAGCCTCACCGTCACTCGACCCCACGCTGACCCCTTCTCAGCATGCGGGCGAGTTGAACTTTCTCGACCTTGAACTCCTGCATCATTACTGCAACTTCACCGCGCAGACACTATCGGACAATCCGCTGCTCGGGGACTTCTGGCGGCTGAATGTCGTCAAACTCGGGCTGGAAACTGACTACGTCATGAGGAGCATTCTCTCGCTGGCAGCATTGCATCTCGCCTATCTGAATCCCGATAGGAAAGACCAGTTACTGGAGAAGTCGATGCTGCATCACGAAATATCCTCGAGAACAGCTGTTGGCTTGATGGAGCACGTCCAAGACGAGAAGAAAGCACACTTATTCATCTTCTCAGTCTTGACTATCTACATCGGTAGGAGTTCTCGTTCTCGGTTTCGCTGCAGAAAGAGTATGCTGACTTGTTTCTCCACTCCCAGTTCTAGCCAATTCGCAATATCTACACGAATCGCCGCTAGCCAGTGCAGGCCAATCTCCCGACTGGATAGTCCTATTCTGCGGGACCCGGTATCTTGTGGGGGAACCGAATGACAATCTTCTAATCTCGCCAATTATCACGCGGATTACTGCACACTTCCAGTATCGAGAGGGACCATATCACCACACGCATCTTGGAGACCTGGAAGCAAATATCAACGCATCAGAGCCAGATAATGGGCTTCTGGAGATATACAACAGGGCCATCAATGAGCTCTACAAGTCTTATGGCGCTTTCTATGAGTCCGCAGAGCCTCAAGACATTACTGATGTTTTTATTTGGATTGCCATGGTTGCAGACGACTTTCTCCCGTTGCTGAGAGAGAATAGACAAAAGGCGTTGGTAATATTTTTGTACTTCTGCATGCTTCTCAAGCGCTTGCGAAATCGCTGGTGGCTGGATGGTTGGGCAAATAATCTCTATGCTGAGACATATGGTATGCTAGACCACGAGCATAGGTCATGGATCAGAGATCCAGCAATGGAAACCAATGAACTTTGTCTATAAACAACACGTTTATATCCTCCAATACCCAGTGTCTATGTAATTGTACGCATCGATGCAGTGGGCAACTGATGTGTCAAGCCTCGGCTGATGCTTCTCTTTCGTACATGGTCCAATCTAGTAATGCTAGACACTGACGGAAATACCAGCAATGCTATTCTTCACCATCTATTTCCTGCCAGTCTGCCTTCCTGAAAGCTATTCCAACACACAGGCACTATCGCTGAAGCCCAATGTATCTCGGTCTTTTCTCGATACCCTCTGTTCCAAGTCTTCAACATACCAAACCAGGAAAATCGCCATGACCGCGACCATGAGAACGGTATCGAAGATGTAAAGAAAGATTTCGTGTGAAATCAGGTACCCACGGTTACCTTGAAGGTATTCGATGACTCGGAAGACGCTTCGTACGAGGATTACAAGACTGGTGCTGTAAAGGACCCAGAGGTATCTTCGCCAGGGGACGATCCCTTCGATGGCAACCGACGTAGGCTTTCGACTGATTCGGCGATGAAATAGGATAGTCGTAATAATGAAGAACCCAAAGACAACAATCTGAACTAGAAGTCCAATAATTATAATCTTCTCGCCAATATCGTAGAGCTCCAGGGTTCCTGCTGCTTGTATTCCGCCTCCTCCAGCCTGCATTGTAAACGAGACGACGTCTCCGGTGACGAAAATCTTCGTGACCCATGGCACAGGCAACAGGAAAAGGTGTTCGGCTCGGAGAGTTCGAATCAGGCGGCCGAGGATCATGTAAATCGAGGCTGCGTACAGGGCCGGGGCGACAAGAATCAGGATGGCCTGCATGACGAAGCCGCCGATGGCCATGGTATCAAAGTGTGACCATATTCGTCCGCAGTAACCTATCGTCTGAACTGCAAAATCAAAGTCAGTATCTTCAGTCCCGGCAGATGGGAGGGCAGTTCTGCAAAACCTCCATTGGAACAAGAAGCCTCGGGAGCCCGAGTAAGGGACAGGTTCTAACCGGGGCCACACTCACAAACACCACCAAGAGCAAAGGCAGTGAAGTAAAAGGCTCGGGCTCGATACAGCCGCCAGAAATGAAGGATGGTCAGAACTGCGAACACGGCAGCACTGACTATGGCGGCCGGAAGAGATGGCGTGTAGCGGTAAAGTCGGAAGTCAAATGCTGCTCCGGCAGCTGCCTCTGCACCCCCAGCGCCCGTCGTCGAGTTGAGTCCATCCATGTCAGCCCCACCTTCAGATTTTTACTGTTTCGGGGAGGCCAATGAAAGTGTAGGTTGTAGCCGATTGCTTTGAGTTGATGATCGTGTGCTAGCCAAGCTCCCACACCGAGAAGCAGAACCACAAGCCTCTTAGAGTTGATTAAAAGTCATCTAGAAGGATAGAATTGTATTGGAACCGTCATTCCGAATCGAAAGCAGGCAGTCTTTCGGGACCTTTAGTACTTCTTCCAAAATGTGCCGGCGGAAGATGCAATACTAAGCTTGGGACCTTCGGACTCCTCGCACACCTCGTACATCACCCGAGTCCGACGTACTCGGACTGATTGTATTGATTTGATCACGTGAAGTCGAGGGATGCATGAGGCTTGGGTACCCATCATCATAAATGGTTTACGAAAGAACTC